ACATAGATTTTTACAACTGTTTTTTTTTTTTTTGTATTAGTAAAGACATCTTTTTTTTCTGTAATATTAGCACATTTCTTCTACATAAATTCTTAGTTTTTCGAGATATTTTTTTTTCGTTCTTAATTGGTTGTGTCTCCAAATTATTTTTTTTTTCATTTATTTAAAATTTTTTTTTTATTTTATTTATTTTTTATTTTTTAAATTTTTTTTCAATATTTTTCCAATTCTATGCTTTGGTAAGTTGTACATTGGTATTTGCTTGAATTAATAATTAAATACATAGCGCAAGTGCAAAAAAAAATAATAATAAAAAATATTTATATATGTATATGTTTATTGCATGCATATCTCAAAGATTTTCCGAAAATAGGAATTAGTAAAAAAAGAAGATTTTTCGAATTGTCGCGAATATTTATGTCACTACGGTATATAAGGAAAGTGTTATGCTGCTCAGTTATTTTGACTTTCTTACTTCATGTCAAGCCTCCTTTTATCAAGAGGAATTTTTCTAGCAGAAGAGTTTGAATTCCATATTCATGTACAAATTAATTGCCAAATTTTTTTTTTAATTTACTGCGAATTTGTCTGAAAAGAATTTTAAAGACATTTTTATACCTTTATATTTTTGTAAGAGGAGAGGGAAAAAAATATTTTTTTTTTAGAAAATTTTCTAAAAATTTTCTAACAATTTTTGTAGCCATTATTAGCAGACCCGGCTGTGGCTTTATGTATTTTGTTTTTGTATTTTATTATATGTGGGTTTTAAAAAAAAAATTTCATTAAGCAACATTTAAATCAAAATAATAAGTTTTTTTTATTATATTATTGCTCTGAATACTTATTTGTATGTGTGGGTCACTTCTACGCTGCCCAAAGTCTTCCAAGAAAATCTCATTATGACTGCCACGAAATGAGTCAAACGCACTCAAGTCGTACATATAAGGATTGCTTGTAACCCGCAGCCGATAAATAGAATAACAAGCGCAGCTAACATCCCTACGACCTATGCTTATATCCAAATCTTACTAATTTTTGTTAATCTGTCGATAATCCCTTTGCCGTTAAGAACTTATTCTGAAACTCATTTTGGCTCTCTGGTCCATTTCCAGGAAACTAAATTCAACCATTTGGGCATATCAACCCAAAAATTTAACCAAGCCGAACCATGAATATGCTAATTATTTCAAAGAGATCGGTCTACTTCACGTAAAAAAAAAAGAATTCCAGCAGGTAGAACGCATAATATAATTTCTTGAAATAGTTCGGTCCCTGATCGACTACCCAGAGAGAGTAGTAGTATTTCTGTAAATATGTCTAATAAATTATATTCTAATAAATTGAACCATAAATACAGTTTTTTCATTTAGTCCGGTCACGGATCTACTTCACGGAGAGAAGAGCTTAAAAGAGTTTGGCGTTATCGAGAGAGCACTTGATTAAAGAATAATGAATATTTGCCGCGAACCTCTAATGTTTTTCACTCAAAGCATAGATCATAATTGCTACCATACTACATATTAACGCCGGAAAGGAGTTTCGACGTAATACCATAGTGTCTCTCGGATGCCAAAATATTATTCACAGAAAATGAATTTTTACTGAACACCTCCTTCTCAACTTCGTCAAATGTTGGAATCTTAAGTTTGATATTGTGTCCGATTTTCTCCTTTAATTAGTAATTAGGTAATTAGTATTACTATTTTGATGGGCACTTTGTAACTGCTAAAGCGAATTTAAGCCGAACTCCTTCTTCCTCCTCCAATTTGTGGTGGTCGTCTAGCTGTTTTCCCAACCTTTGAACAGCTGATGATCTTTTATGAGAAGCTATTATTTCATGTTCGAAATATATTCGGAGAGCTTGACATTTTCTGCCGAGTTACTTTGTATATATGTATGTACATTTGTGCCTTCGCATTATTGGCTCACCTACTCTATACTCCATGGCTAGCCCAGCTAAGTTTAAAAACTGGTAAAAATTAGCTCATTTTGAGGCGAAAGTCACAATATTTTCATTATACAAAATTTCCGACCTCTGCTTGTGTTTACTAAGAAGTTCCTGTCTTGACTTGTCAAAGACTCGTTATATTATTCCATCAAATTGGATCCGCTCTCGATAGGCTATTTCAAGTTCTGCGCGTTTATATTTTACGTAAAAATCAAAGCTTCTCATAAATAAATCCTTAGGCGTTCGGAGGCGGATTGGAATAAACTGTAGGCGCAGAAGTTCTCTGGGGTATCATCATTTATTGAAAAAAAAAAACATCAAAAAACCCATCACAAATTGAAAGAAGAACTCAGTGAAAAATCTCTTCAGTGGCATACACGAGTATATTAATCTGATAGGTGATTCCGTGCATAAGTTCGCCTGGCGTGGTAGCTTTGAAAATATTTTGGGAAAATAGACAATTAACAGACTTTTGTGGGCAAATTATATAGTATATCACAGGAGTCCTAGGTCATAAAGAGATAACTGGCAATGAACGAGTTGGTTCGCACTAGAGCTGGCAGAGAGACCCTGAAACTTCCCGCGCCTTCAAAAGCTGGCGGTCTTCTGAAAAATACTAAACATCCGAGTGTACTACCAAAGTAGGACGCACCACTAAGCTGCTGTAGGGTAGCGTGGTTAGGACGTAGATCAAACTTTTACTCCTTTTTGCATAAAAAGGTTTAGTTTGTTTTCTTGTAGCTGTGTCGGCTAGATACCCCAGTTCTGAGTTATCAAAAACTCGGAAATGTTGCAATAGCTGAGGGCAGAGTACGTGTGCTCGTCTTTCGACCAATTGAGACGATCATGTCAAGAAAGCAAGCATAGTGGGAATACATAGAGAGCACAATGGGCCTATAATTTTATAGGAGATGCGTTTGAATTTGATTAAACAGATTTTTTTTCCATAAAAAATACAGTAGAAATTACAATTCTTCTTCTTTCTGTAAATTCGAGAAAAATACGCTAAGTGGCAAACAAAAAGTTTTTTTTTTTAGAATTTCTTATGAATTTATGTGAGTATTTTAAGTTTATGGCTAATATTTATAGGAAGTACCAAGGAAGTCTTTTTTTCCAAATTTCCTATAATTTGCATTGCGCAACTGAAAATTCTAAATAAAAATAAATTCATATAAAAACTTAATTGTACAGTACCTTACATAACATATTACAAATAATAGCCAAAAATGTGTATTTGTATTATATGTATGTTTGTATTCTTGAAAATCACATGAACACATAAAACAATTTAAATTAAGTAAGATTAAAGAAAAACATACTTGAATGTACATACAAAGGTATGTATTGTCAATGTACATACATATGTATGTACATGCTATATTTGTAAGTATTTATATATGTATGTATGTATTCGTGGAATAACAGGCACGGGCAAGCAATTACATCGCTTCCATTACTATAATTACATGTATATAGTTATAAAGTACATTATTTTCCATATTAAATTACTATCAAGATTACTGGACATTGTGTATATGTGTGTATGTGTGTGTATTGTAAAACTATACACATAAGCAGCTTAATTTAAGAACTTAATTTTGTATATAACCTACGGTAACTTAATATAGTAAATTAATTATTTTTAATTTTTTTCTAATTTTAAATTTTTTTAAATAAAATGTCCTAAAATTTATTACATTTCTTTTTTTAAACTCAATAAAAGTATTTTATGTTAAAAAAAAATAATAGTAATGAACTTTTGACAAATAGTTAAGAACTCAAGTTCGTAATTCGTAAATGGCGAGATTAATTACAGTTATGCTAAAAAAAAATTTCATAGCGAATAATTTCTTGAAAATTGGCGGATTATTTTTAAATAAAATTTTTAGGCTAATTTTATCTTTACAGAGAAGGAAATGAAATTTTTTCGAGTCATCAGAACATTTGAAAAAATAAAATGAAATACACCAAATAAATAAAAAAAAAATTAAACATAATAATATTAAGTAAAAAATAAAATTTAATTATTTAATTTCAAATAAAATAATGCAATAGAAAAAAAATTAAATTAAATTTAAAAAATTACATTAATATAATTTAAAATAAAGTAAAATAAATAAGTGTAATTAAATAAAGTAAAATAAAGTAAAACAAAATAATATTAAATAAAATGATATAAGACAAAATAATATAAAATTATATTTAAAAAAAATCATTAATATAAATTAAAATTATTTATTATTAAAAAACATTAAAATGATCTAAATTAAAATCAAATAAAATAAAATAAAGTAAAATTGAATAAAATAAAATGAAGGAAAACCAAATAATAAAAAATAAAATAATATAACATAAAAAGTATAAAACGAAATAAACTTATACTGAATAAAATAAATTAAAGTTAAATGAAATATTAAAAATTAAATAAAGTAAAGTGAAATAAAATTAAAAAAAAATTTAAAACAATAAAATTAAATTAAAATGAATAAAATAAAATAAAAATTAAATTAAACCATATGAAATTTAAAAAAAAAAAAACAAAATTAAATTAAATAATAATAAATTAAAATAAATCTAATTAATATAATATGAAATTAATAAAATGAAAATATAAAATATGTATTTTCACATATTTGCTGTTTTTGTCTTCATAGCCATTAATATAAATAAAGCATAAAACATCAACAAAATAAAACGGGAAAAAATATGAAAATAAAATGAAAAAAAATATGAAAAACAAATTAAATTATAATTATTATTTTATTTTATTTTACCTCAAACCTTTTTTAGCTTTGTATTATTATTATATTTTTATTTTAAAATATTTCACTATAAAATAAAAATATAATACAAATAAAAAGCTAAAAAAGGTTTGAGATAAAAGAAAATAAAATGAAATAATGTAAGAATAAAAAATAAAAAATTAAAATTAAATTAAAGGAAATTAAAACAAAAAAATAAAATAAAATGAATATAAAAATAAAAATAAAAACAAAACTAAATTAAATTAAATTGAAATAAAATAAGATAAAATAAAATAAAATTTAATTAATATAAAAGCTCGCCTTAAAAAATCCATTCAATACGCGCTTAGACGTTTTAGACACCCGAAGGAGAATTTGTACAAATAATTCCACTTGTATTGAGTTTAATTGAAACATAAAATTAACACTTAATCATATTGAGTACTTCCAAATATTCATAGACCTCTGTCTATGCACACATGCACGCACGTATGTATACGCCTACACGTATGTAAGTATGTATTGTATGTATGATTAATTACTAATGACAAGATGTCTGACTTGTTTGTTGTACACTTAACATATTGATTACTTAATAAACTGGTAGATTTATTATTATTAAATACAGGACATTAAATTTTGTGAGATACATGTGTATGTAATATGTATGTATATGTATTAATTATACGGGTACTGGAACTAAAGCGAAGTTTTCTTGCGTTTATATATAATAATTTTTTCTATAATAATTTTTTTCTCTCTCTTTTTTTACATGCAAATTTTTCGTTCGGGAAAATGGAACTATAGCCTCATGCATAATTGGACACACAAATAAATATAAGTTTGTATGTTTAAAATAGGCATAGTTCCTGAGCCTACTCAGCAAGTAATATATTTCGCCAGACTTCAAGTACTCGCTTAAACCATATCCACTGCACCGTCTGCTTCGTATGTGGGTATGGATATGACATCGCTGCGTTTGGGCAAGTTAATGGGTAACGTGCTGCTTGTTGTTGTTGTTGTTGTTGCTGTTGCTGTTGATGAGGCGGCATACTTATGTTGTTGTTGTTGTTGTTGTTGTCGTTGTTCACGTCTATGTCGTTGCATTGTTGGTGTTGCAGCTTGTGTTGTTGTCGTTGCTATAGTTGTAGTTGGCCGTCGTTCATGCTGAGTTTCCAAATCTTCAGCATCATCACTACTGCTCGATGAGGCCTCCTCCTCGCTATCCGTAGCCGCATTCGTTGTTGAATTGGCCATAGCCCTTTTGTTGGCTTTCATTTGTTTGAGTACTTCATCAGGATTACTTTCGAGCGTTGAATGTTGACTGGATGGTGAATGGCTATATTCGGAGGTGTTTTCCTCATCCGACACTACGGTCACATTACGTTTATGTATGGGTATTTTCGGTATAATTGGTAGCTTGTAACCACGACGTGCTCGCATGCCCCGACCAATGGGTAGACGTCCAATGCTGTGTGGGAGAGAGAGAAGGAACAAAGAAGGGTTAGTAAAAAAAGCTAAGCAAATAAGTGTAATAAGAAAAAGTTATCGTTTGACGCCCATGGAAAGACATATGAGACTAACTCTACTCTGAAACTCCTCTACAGGGAGGACCTTTACGGAGATACTGTCTTTTGTGCCTGCCTCATTTTGGTCTTTTGCATTTTTATAGAAGTCATTGAGTGGGCGGAATTCCCGAAATGTCCGACACTTCGAAAAGAAAAGTCAATAGGATAAAATAATATCCCCCTATAAATCTTCTGCTTTAAGACCTTGAAGGAGACATTTCGTTCTAAGCGAAAACCAGAAACCGTCCATAACTGTCCGTCATTAGGGTCCGTAAGAGATGAATCTCGTTTAGAGGGATGTTAGATGACAGGAGCCATACCCGACTTCTTTTATAGTCTCAAAAAGTAATTGGCGAACCACTTCTTCTATTATAATCTTCTACTAAGCTCACCGTAGTATCTCGATTGCTCTCCCGAACTTAACTTGAAAAATCGACTTGTTCAATCTGACCCATTCCAGTCGACTAGTCGAACTAACTTAAAGCTCTTTACTTAACAACTTTATTACTGCAGGCGCTCTCACTGTGTCTCACCTTCTCTAATTATGGCGCTTACACATATCATTTAACTTACCTTCGTCGTCGAAGCCCGTAGTTGTAGTCTGTGTCCTCGCCCTCTTCATCCGACCAGCTGTCATCGAAGAGATCTTCATTAGACTCCCCATTGGCATTATTATGAGCTTGTGTATCAGCAGCCATTGTCATATCCAACGTATGCTGATGTTTCCGTCGTACACTGCTCGTTCTCGGTGTCATACGTTCCATTCCCGTCATCTCCCGATTTAAATCATGTGTTGTTAGACCATTGCATTGGCTGACATTCTCATTGCCATTGTCTGTAGCTGTTGATCGAGTTGTCGCCAACTCGCCTTGATTGTTCAGTGAGCTTGTAGTTTGTATGCTCAGCCGATTTTCGTTAATAAACTTAATCACCTTTTCACCAAGTCGATCGAGATGTTCATTGGAACTGCAGTAGTCGGGTATATCAAGTCTTTCATTGCTATTGATCACATCGTCGAGCAATTGGTCGGGACTAGAGCATGCATCGTGGAAGGCGGCATCTAATGGCGTCATAGAATTGCCATTCAAACTCATTGGTGTAGTCACCTCGGTTGGGTCATCTGTTTGCTGTTGCTGCTCTTTAAGATGTTGTGATGCTAGTTGTTGCATAATTTCCATAGGGGTTTGTGGTTGTGCCAATTGTCGCTGATTTATACGTTCCGATGTGTATAAAGCTTCGTAGGATGGCAGACCAGATGACTCGTTATTGGCGAGTGTCATAGAGATATCGCGCATTGCACAGCAGGCATTTGGACTAATATCCATTTCACTTATATCCATGACATCGGTTTGAGTTTCCATATCTACAAGCTTCACATTCTTGCGATTCTCCGGTTCGCTTTGATAACGTCGGTCTCGACTTGGACTATATTTGGGCGCGGCGGCGAAACTACCCGAACCCACACGTCGATGTCTGCTCTTTTTCGGCTTTTGTGTGGCCACACAGTATGATTTTGTCTTATTAAAGCTTATCATCTGCGCGTACAGGGTGGCCTTGAGGGGACTCTGTGGATGAGAAGAAATAAAAAAGTAGTAAATGTGGTAATTTGTGGAAGCCCATTCATAAGGTAAAAGTTGTGACTGCCTTCCAATCGGGATAGGCAAGAAATTATTGTTTTGTAGAGTTTAAGCAGTTCAAAAGTCTTCGGTTCTAGGCCAAGCGAGAAGGTAAGCTCCATGACTTGAGGTTGATACCCACTGCAAACATTACAAAGATCACAACTTGAGGACATGCAGATGAAATAATCGATCTGTTATGGGACAACACCAAACCAAATCGATCTTGTTTCGGTGAAAAGGGAATAGGCGATACTCATTTGCAAGCAGAATAAATAAGAGGACAAAATATGTGGGTACGAAATGTCAGAAGCTGACCGCCAGCTGTAATACTCGAAACTCTAGAGGCGTGACCGATGTCTGGAGCATATTGAGCTTATGAGGAGAACCCGTTCCGTTACTCAACAATGTCAAGCGTTTGCTTGAAAAATATCAAAGCGGTGAAAGCGGAAGGTGTACGGACTGAGCTATTAAAATATAGTACATTTAGGAGACTTGAGGAAAGAATCGATATACACCAGCCCTTCTTCGGCGATATGAAAAGATGCTCTCTACGCCGATATGTTCGAATTCTCTATTTGGATAACATGAGAAGCGTATTTAGGATTTCCCGAATCGGTTGGAACCAAACGAGGTTTAAGACAACGTGCCTGTCTTTCGGGTTAGTTCACCGACTTAATGCTAGATATAAGAGCTGCAGAGCTATTTCGACAATCTTCTACAAGAGGGTACAGCTGCTGTCGTGTGCCGATGAGTAGACTAGACGAAATATTTCCTATAATCAAATAAACATGGTGAGCACTAAACCCTGGAGTCTACTGGCGGTTACTTATGAGTAGTTAATAATAAAAGTTCACCTCTGGAGTTGTTTCTGGATCAGGTGTCGATGACTGTTGTTGATTTTGAGCATTTCCTGGTATTGCAATAGGTGGATTTAGTCGTCTGCGGTAGTTCTGTATTTTTCGTAGTGTGCTGCCCAAGCGTCTGGTTGGTTTGTAACCGGGTAATTGCTTCTCGCGCCTGAAGAACGAAAAGAAATATTTTTTTAAGTCACATCAGAATCAAAGACATTCTTGAAAAAAAAACCTACATAGCAATCTCTTTCTCCTTCTCCTGCAGCTGTGTCATGCATTCACTTAATTCTAAATACAGTCGATTTGTCTTCTCCAATTTATCCTCATACACCAGCCGTATGTCCTGTGCATGTTGCCACTCAGCCTTACGCATTCTTATCAAATCCTGTTCATATTTATGTATGCTGGTGCCGTTTTGTGAAATTTCTTTAAAATGCAAACGCACTTCCTCATTCCACGATTGTTGAGCTTCAAAGTAACCTTTATCGGTTTTACGCAGCAACTCCGGACCGGCAATTTCTAAATGTGATAAAATCTGACCGAAGGAAGGACGATTGCGCGGTTTTGTATGCCAACATAAATTCACTAATAATTTAAAACCCTCTGGGCAACTGGACGGTATCGGTAGTTTTAATGAGTTATTGCCCACACCCCAAATTATGGCCGATGAGTCGACATCCTTATAGGGTATCTCACAGGTTAACATCTCCCAGAGCACAACACCATACGACCAAATGTCGACTTTCTCCGAACACGGCTCGTTGCGTATCACCTCGGGTGCCATCCATGCAACTGTGCCGGCAAAGCTCATTTTCGTACTCTTCTCATTCCACTCTTTGCTTGTGCCAAAGTCACTAATCTTCACAATCTCTTCGTGGCCAATCAGTATACTATATGGAGAGAGAGAAAAGACAGAGAGAGAGAGAGAGAGAGAGAGTTAAAGAAATGCCATTAGATCGTAAACATTTTTTTACAAAAATTTATTGTCAAATACGTACTTAGGACTCTTCAAGTCTCGATGTATGATCTTATGTGAGTGTAAATATTGCATGCCATGTGCAATTTGCCTCGACCAAGACACCAGACGGGATGGCATCATCACTTTCTTATTCCGCTGCTCTTTTAGTATATTCTGTAGTGGACCGTAGGGACAAAATTCCATGATTATGCAAAAAACTGGCGGTTGCGTGCAAACACCTCTGCAAAAATTAAATATATTCATGATCAATGATCAATTTTTAATTAAATCATAACCTTATGCTAACAACGCTAACCAAATTCTCACTAATTTATGTAAATAACGCCTAATGCTATGCTTAATAAAACGTTCTAGGAAACTCCACGATTTTATGGAATTTCCAGGAAATTAATTTTAAGTATTATAACATAGTTTTAGGCGTACAAAGATTAGAATCTACTCACTTGAACTTAATTATATTTTGATGATCCAATTTTCTTAAATGCTTAATATCTGTCTCCTTTAATTCTTTCACCTTCTTCACAGCAACAATTTCATTATTTAACTTTCCACTGAAGACGGCACCTTGCGCACCACTACCCAACCATTGCAAGCCCGTTATGCATTCGAATGGTATTTCCCAAGCATAATCTTTGGGATCTTTAATCTCAATAACACCAGTCTTGGTCATGAATGAGAGTATCGGTTTCATACAACCCAATAGGCTTGTCATCATACCGATACCTTTATCATGATCACCATGTGTGGGTGTCCATCGATGTTGGCAGGTATTATCTGAACTATCGGTGCCATTATTTACCATCGCTTGCGGTCGTTGGTGAAAGTCGATGTCTGTTGTGTATGATAGGTTACCGGCACCTATTCTCATATGTTCCAATCCATCTTGAATGCAGGCCATGCTGGGGAAAAGAAGAGAGTCGAAAGGTGGTTTAAAAATTGAGAAATTTTTAATTAAATTCATATCTTAATAAAGAGGTAGATACTCGTATATGTGTGGTGGGGTTAAATACTATGAGATAGTCATTAACATACTGCTAACAATCCATTATTGAAATGTCAGCATTTTATATATGTATATGTTCTATTTTTTTAGCTTGCTTGAGAAATATTGGCGATCTCTATGATTCTCCATTAGGTATTATGGGTATTAGAACTAAGTAATTCTTGAAAGACTTCGTAGTTTTGGGTCGACCTGACGTATAGATATTTTCCAACGAATGGAGGAACTTTTAGTTTATTATAAGCAGCCTCCGAACGGCCGATGGACTTCTATGATGAGCTTTTATTTCACCTCAGAAATACACTCGGAGGGCTTGAGATTCCCTGCCGAGGTGTTTCATGCAATTTTGGATGATACAGTTAGTTAGTTATGCCAAGAAAAATATTTATTCACTCTAGTTTATTGTGGAAAAAAAGGGGTTGAAAAACTGAAAGCCAAAGTTAGGTTAGGTTGAGCTGGTTGACGCCTTAACGACTGGTCTATTAGGTTACCTGAAACATTAAATACGATCTAGTTTTCTACAGTTTGCAGAAAATATCTGTTCTTTAATAAAGTAGGCGTTATTTTATTTCTTTATAGCTGATTGATGAGGTTTTCCACACGAAGTATGATCAACCTCTGTCTGCCGAAAACCGAACACATTTATTTATATATATTTATTACGTACTCTAATGTCTACGCACCTTCCCTTTATTTTCTGTATTTATTGTCATCACCAAGTCATAATTTGAAAGCATTTAGGTACTACTAGCAGCCTAGTCTCTGAAAGGGACTGGCAAATTCATATTCAGCTCCAGTTCGGGAAAAAGGACTCCACAGTTAAACAATTCAACGCTCATTGCTAACGACCTCTTTACAGACTGGTAAGCACTAAAGGAACGTGTTTCGTTTCTCCGCAAGATTTTTGGTTGCTTCCTGACCTTGAACAACCACATTCAATTTCATGCCATATTAAAGTATGGCATTAACATCCATTTGACTATGTACATGAATATAAACCCCCTTTTGTGTAGGCCAGTTTTCAGTAGACCGCTCAGCATCCTTATAGCAAATATTTCGACTTGTGGACTGCCATTCTGAAAACCAGAGTTCAAATCCTGGTTCGACCAATATTCAAAATTATAAGAAAATTATTTTTCTAATTTCGTCATAAATATCCAACGGTCGTTCGGGCCCCAGAGGAAGGGCGCTCTATTTGCTAGAAAAACATCAAGGCAAATCCATAAATTGCAGGAGAAGCTCGGCCAAATACTTGCTTTAGCGAATGTCCCTTTTATCTCCAGTTGGAGTTAGTATATTGCAGTGCCTACGCCACACTTCATCTTAGAACCAGAGATAAAGATAGGCATCTATTAAATATGTCCGATGCTTTTCTAAAATCTGTTGCGAGACATCGTAGTATCTTTGTATTTTAAAAGTTAATGCTCTACTACGATGTTCGTCAGTCCTAAATCTCAGTTGGTAGGAGAAAGATGCCGTGTGCAACCTAGCACATTGAGGCTCCACGATAAATTTCTATCCAACACAGTTTCTAAGTACTTTCTGCTTAGTTTCGGTTGTAAACTCTTTCACCTGGAGTTTTATATTTTCTTGGGAAAGAATCAGGCCCTTCATACCAGTGTTGATGATAATTCCAACTGAGTAAGCTTAGTTAAAGACATAGGACGCTAATTATCGGACACAAAAAGGTATAGGCACATAATTATAGAAAATCAAATCTCTATCCTTTATACTCGTAGTTTCAAAGTAAATCAAATATTAATAGAAATCAAAAAATAGTTTTTCTCAGCACTTAAAATAATGAGGTTATGTTCGAAATTCTCTCAGTTTTAATTTTTTATCGCGTTGCGTATGGTAAACTAACTTTGATCCAGAAGGAGAAGAGGCAAACATTAATCGAGCTGAATTTATTTAGCCATGTGCGTTTGTCCGTCAGTTTTTGAGAAATATGGCAATCAATACTTAATCCTGAAATAAAATACCATAAATTTGGTATGCTCGTGAAAGGTATAAAGACTACGGCATGACCGATGGAAGATCTTATCTCTTGCTTTTTTTAATTTCACATGTTTTTGCAACACCAGACAGAATGCAACAATGTAAAAAATTATGCTTAAAAAGCTTATACGCTAAGCAAACATATTTGAAATAAATAAATAACAAGAATAAAACAGAATATTTAAAAAAATATATTAACTGATAAGAACTAAAGGCGTTATCATTAAATAAAGCCATACAATTGGGGGAACCACGTAAGCCTTTGCAGAAAAAGGAAATGTAAATACTATAAATAAAGGTATGATAAACAAAAAAACCTATATACATATGTATGTATTGTATGTATAGCTGCTATCAGCAAATGCTGTATTCGTAAGTTATAACGCTTAAATGTGAATTTGTGAATTTTGCATTTTTAAGCGATAAAAAAATTTAATAATTTATTATAAAAAATTTTAAATAAAAAATAAGAATATTATAAATAATATAAAGCAAAGCAAAGTAATGCAATGAAAATAAAACAAACAAAAGATGAAAAACTTAAACCAAAAACTAAATGAAATAAAATAAAAAAAAATCACAAAAAAAGTAAATGAATTAAAAGAATAATAAAAATAAAATATAAAAAATGAAATTAAATAAATTAGAACAAACAAAATAAAATAATTTAAAATAAGATGAAATAACCAAAAAAAATAAAAGAATATGAAAATAAAATTAAATTATATTAAATTTAGCAAAATCAAATAAAACAAAATAAAATAAAATATAAAAACTTAAATAAAATAAATTAAATAAATTAAAACAAACAAAATATAATAAAACAAAATGACATATAATAAAACCAAAAAAGCAGAAGAATAATGAAATAATATAAAACTATATTAAATTAAGCAAAATCAAATAGAACAAAGTAAAATAAAATAGAATAAAATATAATAAAATAAAATAAANAACAAAATAAAATAAAGCAAAATAAAATTTAATAATATATATATAGTACAATAAAACTAAGTAAAATAAAATAAAAAAATATAATCAATTGGGGAAAAAGCAAACAATATACAACTTAAATTAAACGAAAATTCTAATTAAATTAAATTAATTTTATAAGAACGAAGAAAATAATATACAACAAAATTAAATAAAAAAAGTTAAAAAAATTACTGAAACTATTTCAATTAAATTTAATTAATTAAGTAATTAATTAAAATAAATAAAAAGTACTAAATTGAATTGAGTTAAAGGAAAAATAATAACAAAAATCAAGTCTAATAAAATAAAACAATTAAGTAAATGAAGGTAAGAAATAATCGAATTGAATAAAATAAAATAAAAAAATAAATAAAAAAGTTAAATTAAATTATATATTAAAAAAATACAAATAAATGACAATAAAATGAATAAAAAAATAAAACTAAGATTAAAAAATAAACTAATTATTTAAAGCAAAATAAAAATGATTAATTTATATAAATTAAGTTAAATAAAAATAATAAGAGGAAATAGAAATAATTAATTAAAAGAAACTGAAAAATAAAATAGAGGTAAATACAATAAAAGCAAAAATAATAAAAAAAATCTAGTGAAATATGTATATAAATTATATATATATAAAATCTAAATTAAATTCAATAATAGACAATTAAGTCAAATATATATAATTAAAATTAAGGAGCACACCTAGTGTGAAATTTCAAAAAAATCGATCTTTTCCATATTTCGGTAGATTACACCTTTAAAAATAATATATTAAAATTTCAAATCGATATTTCAAATAGCTTTTGAGTTATAGCAATTTAAAGAGCAGCCGCTCGGCAGCTATAGAGTCTCATTAGCTACGAGTGAAAACGATCATTTTATCTTTAAACACGTTTTTCTCGAAACAGCATTTTCCGAATTTACTGCGCTGATTACTCGAAATCAAATATTCCGATCACTATCGAATTTTTTTTACATGTTCTATATATAGTTCTCCGTCCAATGACCTATCGAATTTCGATCTGATCAAAAAATCGAATTTTGACAGGCTAAAAACGACCAAAATATTGGGTAAAATTCGACTATTTTTTTTTAAACGCCGCCATATTGTCAATTTTTTGTACATACAATATTATCTAGTAGAGAATTTTTTTTTTAGATTTTATCCACGGAAAAGGCCGGAATCAATGCAGCAGTGAAGGATCCTTTATTCGCGCCGTTGGAGATCGACTATAACTTAAAAAATATTAAAATTTTTTCTTCAAAAATTTCACTGTATATTCTTGAAACATGTATAAATATATTCTTAAAATTGTGAAATAATTGATAAAGTATTTTTTTTAATAAAAATTCCCAAAAATCAGCTTTTTTTTAGGACATTACACTAGGTGTACCCCTTAAATGAATTATTAATATAAATAAAACCAAACAAAATTATATTAAAAAAAGAACAAAAAACTAAACAGAAAATAAGTGAAAAAATAAAATAATTAATAAAAAATAGAATTAGTAAAAAAAATGAAATAAATTAAAATAAATAAAAAATAAAATTAGATAAGTAAAAAATTAAAATGAAATAAAAAAAGAAATAGATTAAGACACCAAATTTGTATTTGTCAAGGTCCAAAGAAACATTTTCAAAACTAAGAACTTTTATACGTAAAAAAGATAATTAAATATTTCTGAGCTTCAAATCCCAACAGCACTGTTAACCCAAAAATCAGATAGATTATTTAGCTAAACTTCTCAAATGACGCACTAGTGGCTGAACAGAGTGTTCTGTTGCCTTTTAAGTAAAATTGAATTTTTTTCCTCAGCAAAAAACACTAAAATCCACAAAAAATTTAAAAATAATCCAATGAGTATGAAAGTACTTATGTACCTGTAGGTATATATGTATCTAAAATAATAAAATAACGA